TGACAGGGACTATGCTGTGCTCTTTTACATGGAGTTTATAATGAAAGTTTGGGAGGGATGACATAAATCAAGTTCAAACAGCCTCAGCTGTGAATAATTTAATCACTCCTGACATCATTTCCTCACCTAAAACATTACGAATATACTGTACTATATATAATACACATAATTCCCTTCTTTCCCTCGCATACTCTTTTGCATCCCACCTCATCCCCCATTTCCACCTTTGCAGCTGCCCCTTGGTCACTCAATCTACATGCAGGTCCTAGCCTCCTTGTCCTATGGCCAAGCGGTCAGCCCTCAGCCAAGTGGATTAAACCAAATTGTACTGTAACTAAATCACCCCAGAAAACCTTTTCAATATGCTTCATTCTTGGTTGTTATTATTCCTAGTTGAAGAGTAGATACAGTAGGTCAGCTATGAGGGAAAAAAAGTGTAATGTCTGCATTCCTTTTCGGGAAGCGAAAGTTGTGAAAACACAAGGATATTCCCTTTGTTATGGAATAGTCTTCACCAATGTGACGGCCTGAGGTTATACTTGGGAATTAGCAGTGTTCAGATTCCTGGTGCTGAAGGATGGACATGAATGTGGAAGGAGAAGACCACATAGCAGCCATGCAGACAACTCTCAAGGACACACCTGCAAATAAAGCCCAAGAGGTAACCGAGGTTGTGCCCCACAGTAGCTGTAGCAAATAGATCTTGTGGATAATCCAGTGCATCAGGTACTGCTTGAAGATCAGTGAAGCCAGACCCTTGCTTCTAAAACTTACTGTCAAGGAATGCAGTTTGCCCATTCAATAGGCAAGAGTGAAGCTGTCGTCGAATCTTTATCAGAGGAGAGCCAGGAAAGGTGTTCTCATTCACTCAGTAAAGCATTTATTCATGTTGCGCAATAGGGAAAGACAGCAACCACCAGTCTGTGCAGCGAGTGTGAGCTAATTTAGATAAGTAAAATAGATAAAAGTCCCTTATTTTATACACTTAGCTGATGCAACACCTCAACTTGTTTACTTCATTATGGTTGGTTAGTAATACAAAGACAGGCGAGACAGTAATTGTCCAGTCCTTATAGGTCTTAGCCATGAAGGACAGAGAAGACAGCTACGTGCAGTTTTGTATCTACCTTTTTTGCTGGGGCAGAGATAAACATATTCTTAGAACATCCCGTGCCTTTGACTTGCTGGGTACAATCACACTTTGTTCACAGAATCCAGCTGTTTTTACAACACAGCTCTGCCTGTAAACAACATTTTTAGGATAAAACACTTTTCTTCGGTAACTTTCCATTACAAAGTGCAGCAGAATCAGTCTTCAAGGACAAGAATGGGAATGTTTTTCAGAAATTCACCACTGCTTTTGCAACAACCTCACCTGCGAGTATCACCAAAGTCCATCTTGAATAATCCAATACTTAAAGTGGCAAATAAATATTTATTCAATATCCAAAGTCTGTATCTTTCATATTTATAAAGCATACATGATGTATAAAAAGAGTAATAGATTTCTGTTGATGCTCTGATTATTTTCTCTAGCGGCTCTCACAAAAACTATTCATTATTTTCTCACTAAATCTTTTTATTATACAGCAGGTTTCTTGCACCTGCATTAAACATCTTTCTGTGGTTCACCTACTACTTTTCTCTCTCAAAAAATGTATACACTTCCTACTTTTTGACAAATCCCCCAAATTATCTTCTTTTCACCACTTGCCTGTACTATCTGTTACTTGTCCACACTCTGTTTTTCCTCCAAGAAACCTTTTTATCTTCAAGAAATCAGTACATGTGTTTTCCTTTATTATACCTCATTCTCCTGCAGACAATAGTATAATTCTGGTGAGGTTAATGGCTATCTGCTCTTTAAATGTGACCAAATGGTGCTGAGACAAAAACCCTCCAAGAGAATAACAACACCATTGTGTTATGAAAACCATATATTTGAAATAATAATTGGGTAAATACGAGAATAGACTAAAGTCAGGTGGTACAACGTGGAGCACAATGTAGCTGGATCACAAATATTATGTGAATTATTAGAATGTGACCCGGCTACTGCTTAAGAGAGATTATTGCTGCTTTTGACCATATATAATTTCGCTTAAGGTATGTATACAGTATATAAATAATAGTAAATAACATTGGCAAGGCACGACTGGAACCAAACTGTACTGTCAGCTGTCATGTTCACTGCAAGAACGCCCTATTGAAAGATATACAGATATACAGAAAGACAAACATTCCTACTGTACACCAAGCCTACAGTATGTGTTTTGCAACCCTGTCGAATACGAGCTTAGGGAAACTCCACGAAACAATAAACAAGTAGCTCTCACCACCACTGCTTAAAAATACACCACAGGACTCAAAAAATAAACCCAACTCCAACATGCATGCGTTGTCTTCCTTAGATAACACTGTACAAACGGGACACCGCGATTGGCAGGGTCCAATCTCTTTACGCCCTGACTAGCCTGACTGCGTTCCTCCAATTGGTTTTGATAAACCCGCCCCTTTCCTTATTCGTGTTCCAGCCTGTCCCACCTGTCACGGGTTGCTGGTTATGAGTGTAAGATGAATGGCAAATGTATTCATTGGACTGTGTAGGGGAAAAAAAAAGTTCAGACATTTAAGTTATGTAATTAAGAAATTAAATTTCCAAAACTAGTAGCGTGTGGTTTGGAAATACGTCTAGTCAATGTTGATTGTTGTCATCGCTTTCAATTAAAAGTTCATAGTAGGTGAATATATATATTTTTTAAAATGACAGCTAAGCATCGGAAGGGGAAAAATAACCACAGGCAGGAAGAGAACTCTTTTAAGGACGACTCTTTCGAGCGGGGACCAAGAAATGGAAAGTATAATACATCAGTGATCATTTTATTCTTCCTGATTGGGGTCGGGGTTGTCACCTCCTCCTGGTTTTTCACCCAGCAACTCCAGACCATAGGTTTCCTGACTGACAACCTCAGGGGCGTGCAGTTGAAAATAGCACAGCTACAAACCCTCCAGGAAGAAGTCCAAAAGGTTAATGCAAAGGTATGATGACTTTTTTATGATTAGTGACAGTGAGCATACATTTACAGTGCACGGATACATATTAATATTTAGCCCAAAAACAAAAGTGCAAATCGGAACATAAAGATATGTTATTGTTATTGTTATTATTTTTTAGATAAAGATGGATTTCAAAATGGCTGTCAAAAAGTTACTTAGAATTTTGCGAATCGTTTGACCAGCGTGAACTCGGATTTTCCATTTTTTAAATCAGAGATCGCAGTTTGAGGGGTCCTTGAATTTGTCATTGGGTCAACGGGGCCAATTTCTGGTATCGTATTTTACAGTACTTACAACCTGAAAATGTCTAGAATTTAAGACATCTAGGATTTTTGTACACTTTTGGTTGTGTGTCATGGTGGAGGTGTTACTGTAAAGCATAGCTTATGATCTGCTCTGTTAACTTTATGCAGTCTGATAACAGTATCTTATCAATACCAATATTTTTAAGCCTTATCCTCTCAAGAGCTAGTACAACCTACTGTATTCAATAGTGCATGAAGATATTATTTAAACATTACAAAGGATACTTGTATTTACTTTCAAATAAACTACATATTTACATAATATGCATCTGCCCTGCCCTAACTATATGTTATACTGTATAAACTATATATACACACACTGTATAACAGTTTTAGCAAGTAACTGCATAATTCTAATATTATTCAGTTGCTAAATGAAAGCTCCTGTAAAATCCTGTGAGTGATAACTCACAGTCACAACTGTTATTGTCACTTGATTTTACCAAAAAATCAGAATCTAAAACCAAGTCAGTTCCTTTCAGATCCTTAAATGTATTTATTCTATGCATGAAATTCAAGAGATTAAAAAATATGTTTTTTTTGCTAAAACCATATTATTTAAATGTAATGAACCCTTTTCAAAGGGAACATACTGTATACAGTATACAATGTAATTTAAATAGTTTTATTATTCATTCCCCTATGATTCAGAATTGGTTTAATGGAGTATTTTCTTTGTTATTCATAGTGCCCTGCATCTGTAATAACTGAAACTTTAAACCACTTGTCAGGTCAGAGATCATTAAATATAGACCACAGCTATGCTTTTGTAAATACTGATCTCTGGCACCCTACTATTCAAAAATAGGAACCTGCAACACGTTTTCAAAGGCTATTTGTGCTCACAAGGACTAACAAACAATGGTTTTGTAACACCACCTTGACTACCAAGTGGCTATTAGGCTTCCTAGAAAGACGTTAAGGTTAATTCCATGTGAAAAGAAAAGAGACACTATGTTTCGACTGTGGAGCCTTCCTCAGTTCATCCCTAGTTGAACTCCCCTAGAAACATGCCCTGCCTCAACCTCACCTGAGCTTTCAGAGTACTGACTATTACTTACACATTTTATATACTGTAAACAGTGCTAGTGTCTATTGTCAGGTACTAAATAGATTCAATGCAATACACCTTTCACTTTGTAAATAATATGCAGTGCAGTTTACAGACTATGTATGCCTTTATTGTTTAAAGAATTAAAAAAACAATTGCTACACCTACTTTATATTGCATATCAGATACATATACAATATATCTCTATATTGAAGCAAATTATTTCCCCTCTATATACAGTAGCTGATCCTTCC